AGGGTTTAATGACACATTGTAATTACCCAATAAATATTGGCTATTGATTTTATGTTGAAAGCATATAGAAGTTGATTGTTTGCCTCTAGGTTTTTCCAAGGAGCAGAAAAACCTGTAGTTATAATAATTCCCACAATATTTAATATGTAGGATATTGTTGTTGTTATGTGCTATAAGAGTCAGTTCTGACTCATAGCAAGCCTATATAGGGTTTCTAAGAAGTGGCTGGTGAGTTTGACCACCAACCTTGCAGTCCAGTGTTAATCCTACAGCGCCACACCAGGACTCCATGTAGGGTAAGCTGTTATTGTTAAGTGCCATCTAGTTGGTTCCAACTCATAAAAACCCTGTATAATGTTTCTGAAGAGCAGCTAGTGAGTTTGAACTGCTGGTTTAGCGGTTCAAACCAACCTTGCAGTCCAGTGCATTAACCCACAGCACCACACCCGGACTCCATGTACAGTATTGTTGTTAACTGCTGTCAAGTCAATTCTGACCCATAGCGACCCTGTATAGGGTTTCCAAGCAGCAGTTGGTGAGCTTGAATCCCTGACCTTGCAGTTCAAATGACTTCGCAGTTTAACACATTAGCCCACAGCGCCACACCAGGACTCCATGTAGGGTATGGAACTGTGCTAATATTTTTGGTTCAGAATTAAAAAGGCATAAGTAAATAACTTTTGGAATGTCTCCTACTGGAAGTCATGGTATGGCACTGTAGGATAAGCACTGAACTGTTAACTGCAAGGCCAGTGATTCAAACCCAGCAACTGTTTCTCAGAAATCCTACACAGGACAGATAAAAGTTGGAGCCAATTTGACAGCACTTAATAAAAAAATTCCAAAAACTATTAGAAGTAGTGCATTCTCAGTCACTGGAAGGCAGTGGTAAGGATATTGGTGTTAAGGTATAGATTTAGTAAGAGATTGAGATATGGACATTTAAAATGAATTAAATATCCTCTTGGAGTTCTTTGAGCCCAGGAATCCTAGGACTGTATATGTTCAGATAGCTAAAGTTGTTGTTAAGTGTCATCAAGTCGGTTCTGACTCATAGTGACCCTGTATAGGGTTTCCGAGGAACGACGGGTGAGTCTAAACCGTCAACCTTGTGGCTCAAACTCACCTAGAAGTCCTGCACTTTATCCTACAGTGCCACACCAGGAGTCACATTATTTACTTTACTTTAGTGTAATGGAAAAGTAACTCCCATTCCCCACCCCCTGGCCAAATCTTTAAATACAGCAAATAAGAAGAATCACTTTTTTATGTGAAGTCATTTCAATAGAGGTATTAATTCAATACAGGGTTGCTATGGGTCAGAACTGCCTTGATGGCACTCAACAACAATAACATACATATATATGTAAAATTGAATTCCTATTGGAAAATTGGTCTAACTAGACAGATAAAAATGATATGAATAAGAATAACATTTATTAAGAATTGTTCGTTTATGAACACTATTAAGATGGTATTTTTATATTAAAAATATAAAGGTGAGAAGCCTAGAATGGAAATATTTTTATTATTATTTCTATATGTGTTACTGCATACATGTTAGGAATTGAACAAGTTTCCTCAAGGATTATCAAAAATATTCAACTCAGACCTGGAGCATATATAATAAATGTTGTTGTTATGTACCGACTCAGCGACCCTGTACAGGGTTTCTGAGGCTATAAATCTTTACGGGCGCAGAAAGCCTCATCTTTCTCCTGTGGAACAACTGGTAGTTTTGAACTGCTGACCTTGCGATTCGCAGCCCGATTCATAGCCACTATGCTACCAGAGATTATGTATGTAATATATGTACTTCACCTTATAAAGGCAATAACCTGCTAATATTAAATGGGTTAAATGTGCATGTCTCTGTCCTCTCTAAAAATACACCATGGTAAGAACTATCTCTATAGGATAAAATTGACAACAGTAACTCAACGGATTAGATAGGCTCTTTAGAGGGCGGTGAATTTATGTTAATGGCAGAGGAACAACTTAGAAAAGGAGGGTGAGAACGACTATACAACTCAAGGAATGGCATCAGTGCACTCCATTGTGCATTTAGAAACTATTCAATTGGTGTATGTTTTATATTTTGCTGTGTATATTCTCAATATCAACACAAAGAAATTATATATGTTATACATTGTTATTGTTAAGTGCCATCAAGTCAGTTCCGACCCATAGCGACCCTGTACATGGTTTCCAAGGAGACGCTGGTGAGCTTGAACCACCAACCTTGCAGTTCAAATGGCTTTGCAGTTTGGCTCATTAACCCACAGTGCCACACCAGGACTCCATATTATACATACATATATATATATTATTGTTGTTAAGTGCTGTCAAGTGGGTTCCAACTCATAGCGACCCTGTACATGATTTCCAAGGAACGACTGGTGAGCTTGAACCGCCGAACTTGCAGTTCAAACAGATCTTGCAATCCAGCACATTAACCCACAATGCCACGTGTGTGTATACAAACAAAGGATTGAGTTTCTGTTAATTTCCTCCAGTGAAATCAACATTGTGCATCATTCAGCTCTAGGTTGTGGCTAGGTGCCATCGAGTCAGTACTGCCTCATAGCGACCCTATGCACAACAGAATGAAACACTGCTCAGTCCTGGGCCAACCTCACAATTGTTGCCATGCTTGCAAGACAATTTAGAATAAGTTCTTATCTGTTCTACAGATACGCAGATTAAATTTTCTATATGTAAGTATTAGAGAAATCTGAAATGAACAGAAGTTTAAAGACACTGACTTTTTAAAATTTTTAATGCTTTATTGTGAGTTATGTGATAGTTTACATGGGAGAACATTTGCTTCACATTGATCCCTTCATATATTGTTTCCTTGCCATGGTTACAATCTCCTCCATACATCATCCACCAACCACAGGGTGTACCCTGCAAGCCTGACCGCCAGTCATCAGCACGCAGCCCCTCTCTCTCTCCAGGTCCAAAGTCCCCAGCCGCTCCATCTCTCCATGTAAAGACATTGACTTTTGGTCTGACATTGCTTTCTGTGGTCTTGACTCAGCAATTGGTATTGGAGGAATGACTCTTACCAATATTCCAGAAATTCAACTACAGAGTGAGGGGACAGGATGACCAGACATGATTTTCTATGAACTCACCATGTGAATCAGGCCTTTGCCCTATGTGGTTCTGCCTCCACTATTTTCCTTGCTAATTTTTGCACTACAGAAGAGAGAGCCAATTCCTAAGCATAGGCATAGGAAAACCAGTAACCACGTTAGTTTTCTACCCAGGAGCAAGGAAGTTTAGTGTTAGGAAGATGGTTATTTTCTTTGGGGTTTTAGTTAATGGCAGCTTTCTAAGGGTATGGCTGTGACCTAGATTGTCACCTTGAAATGTAATATTTATAATGAAATATTTAAAATGAGGGATTTCTTCTTATACCAAGATCAACACAGTATGTAATCCTCTCTAAAAGAACCTAGTTTATAATGAAAGTTTTAAAGTGTTAAGGCGATGCACTAAAGCCCTCTCAAAATATTTCATGAATTCTTGGCAGATAGCGCTGGTTTTGTAATTATAAAAGAGGAACACATCTTTCTCAATCATTTAAGCTGTGGTGCTAAGTGTAAGAAAAAAATTGAGCCACACAAGGAAGTTAACCATGAAAACAAAAATATAACTAACTGGGAAGATTGAGTTGACTCTATGATTTAGTTCATTTGTGGGAAGTCTTGTTTTTAACGTTTCAACTTTTGATATGACTTTAATAGGGCAGCCCATATCCCAGGATGTAATCAAAAGAGAGACAGCGAAAAAATCCTTAACAAGGATTAGTCAAATATGAAGCAAGAGGGGGGAAAAAAGATGAAAGAACAAAAATGTTTCATTTCTAAAAAGTGATGATATTTTGCAAGTTCTTTATAAGAAAGCAACAAAATTATGGCAATAAGTGATTAAATCATCTGTTCCTAGTAAAGTACAAGAGGTACATCTTTAATTTTAGAAGATGAAGATATATGGACAATGGAACAAGGAATAGGTAGCTAGAAGTTCCTAAAAATCTGTTGTTTTTGTTAGTAGATTCCATCTCATGTGTGCAGAGTATACAGACCTCATTATAGCAGTTCTACAGACCTGTTATCCGAGGTACCTTTAGGTAGATTCAAAGTGATCCACTAGTCGTCAAGTGCTAAACTGTTTCCACCAACCAAGGTTGAAATAATCTACGTATTGCCATGGAGTTGATTCCAACTCCTAGTGAACCTATGGAACAGAGTAGAATTGCCTTATAGGATTTCCCAAGCTGTCATCTTAGAGCTGTGGGATAAAGTACTGGACCTCAAGGTCAGTTTGAACCACAAGGTGGACAGTTCAAACTCACCAGTGGCTCCTTAGAAACCTTATACAGGGTCACTATACTGCACTTAACAACAATCTTTATAGACGTCAACTGCCACATCTTTCACCTTGAAGTGAGTTTGAACCATGACCTTTTGGTTAGCAGGTGAGTGCTTAACCATTATGCCACCAAATAAAAGTCTGGAAGGAGTTTGCCAGAAGGGTAAATGAGGGAGCTAATGACTGGTGCTTGGTGCTTTTTAAAATCATTATTATTAGATGAACACTAAAACTTACAAAACTGTTCACAGCACACTTGAAAGAAAACAGCTCCTTGAAAGGTAACAGCATGTAACCAAATTGAATTTTTCCTATATCCTCAGAAGGATCAACTTTAACACTGGTGGACAAAGTTAGCTTCCACTAAAGATAAGCACTGAACTGTTAACCGCAAAGTCCACAATTCAAACTCACCAGCCCGCTCCTTGGTAACCGTATACAGGGTTGCTAAGAATTGGAACCAACTCCAAGGCACTTAATAACGATAACAATATTAATTGTATTTATTTACCTGAAGTTAAAAAAAAAAAAAATTCCAAGGAATTGAACAGGGGATGCTATCTGGAAGAAACAAGTTTATTCCACCCACCCCAACACCAGACACCACACCTACTTACCTTGGGTCTGTGGGCTGAGGTCGGTAGTTCCAATTTATGACCTGAGCGGCCACGTAGAACTGCCTGAGCTGTGCTGCTTCAACCTCTTGGCTCCCCCATCCTGCCCAGCTGGTGCTCAGGACCACCAGGACCCACAAGCGGGGGCAATCTAGGAACATGGTTCCTTTCCTTCCTCTGCCCGCAGCGCCCTGGACCTTGGCAGGGCTCTCCTGGGCCGTCCGGCTGCAGTGAACGCCCGAAGCTGCGGGTGGCAGTGTCCGCAGCCCCTTAAGTTCCTGCAGGCACCGCCGCTGCTGCCTGCTGCTGGGGGCGGTCTGGGCTGGGGCTTGGCTAGGTCACTGCCCCGGAAGATAAGAGCTATTAGGGAGTGCAACCATATTCGTGACTCTTACTACAAGGACTCCAGTAGGCAAGGAATGCCCAAGGAATCCTGAGCCATGGTCAAAACGGAATTCTTCCACTTCTATCAGCAAACACCATGGAAACAGTGGCCCTCCACAGTCACCATAAAACCTGCCTGGATCAAAGTTCACACTTAACAGACTCTGCAGTTCCCAGTGCGCTGGGACCCAACAACCTCAAACAGATAACTCTCCTCACCTGCAGCAAAGGGTATTCCTGGACACAGAAGCACACTGTATTTTCAGGTGGTGAGGTAAAAAAATATCTGAAGAAGACCTTTTGATTCAACCCATCATGTGAGGGGCACTGATGATTCAGTCGTGGAATTCTCCCTTCCATTCAGACCTGGATTTGATTCCTGGCCAATTAAATACCTCATGTGTAGCCACCACCCATTTGTCAATGGAGACTTCTTTACTGCTATGATGCTGAACAGTTTTCATCGGTGCCTCCAGACTAACAGAGACTAGGAATAAAGGCCTGGTGAAGTATTTTGGAAAAAGCCTATCAACACAAAAACAAACTGTCACATGTAGACACTAATGCACACATCTGTCTTGATAAGAACCTGTTGTGCCCTAAAGAGGCAGCTTGCTAGTTGCTAAGTGTCATTGAATTGATTCCGACCCATAGCGACCCTGTATTGGGTTTCCAAGGAGCAGGTGGTGAGCTTGAACCACCGACCTTGCAGTTCAAACAACTTTACAGTCTGAGGCATTAGCCCACAGCACCATACCAGGAATTTGAATAGCTTGGTTAAGAAAATTGGTAGATCCAGATTTCAATCCCACTTATAATAATTGGAATTCATTTATGACATCTGCAAAATAGGGGTGATAAAAGTAGCCTTTCCTGATAGGGGTTGTTTTAAGAGTAAAAGGATACTGTCAAGTGTATAATTTCTATGGCGCTGTAGGATAAGCACTGAACTGCTAACCTCCAGGTCTTCAGTTCAAATTCTATGCTGGGTTGCTATGAGTCAGAACCAACTTGAAAGTACTTAACAAAGTAGTGACTCCAGGAAAATATATGTCCTTGAATAATATGGCTATTTCACACTGCTTTATGATATATCGTGTAGTTAATAGAGAATCCGAGAAGTATATGGTATGAAAAAGCATCATTCTGACTTATTCTGTGATTCCTTGAATCTGTGTCTCCAACTTCTGGTTTCTGCTTTGTCTTAATAATATTCAATAAATCGTAATTTGGGCAACTCACATGAAGTGAAATCTAATCATGTCAGGATCCTCAACATCTTTCCTCCTGCAACCCATAACCTTTTATCTTTGCTCCTTTGTTGATATTGTTCAAACAGCTCAATATCAAAAATGCCTATTCTCTTCTCCTAACTATCTGTTATTTAAAGTCCAACTAGAAATCTGCCTATGGAGTCCTGGTGTGACGCTGTAGGATAAGGACTGCAGGGTTGATTTGAACCACAACATCGGTGGTTCAAACTCACCAGCTGGCTCCTTGGAAACTCTACAGGGTTGCTATGAGTTGGAACCCGCTTGATGGCACTTAACAACAGAGATCTACCTGCCTCTTTGCTTCTGAGCTCAAATAGAATTTTCCATTTTCTGAACCCCTAAATACTACGTATTCAAATTACACAAGGTACCTCAAAAATTGTAGAAAATTGAAATTAAAAGATGATTTTTTTTTCTAAAACTTTTTGAAACCCCTTCATATATGCATGTTGATTACATACTATTATTGTATGTGGGTATCTACTATCTCTCTATCTAGGTTTTATATATAAACTATTGTTGTTAGGTACCATTGAGTCTGATTCAACTTATACTGACCCCATGCACAACAGAATGAAATATTGCCCGGCCCTGGGCCTTCCTCACAATTGCTATGCTTGAGCCCATTCTTGTGACCACAGTGTCAATCCATTCCATTGAGGGTCCTCCTATGAACTACTCAACTATAAACTACTACTGCAGGAAGAATGGCTTACATTTTTATATCTCTCTACATCAGTGGTTCCCAAAGCTGACAAATCATCATAATCCCATGGAGAGCTTTTACAAAATGCAGATTCTGACTCAAGAGCTAGGCTCTAGAGCTGTTGTCCAGTACCAACCTAGTGCTTGGTATGTGGTGGTGTGCCATGGAATCAGTTCTGACTCATAGTGACCTTGAATGGGGTTTCTGAGGCTGTAAATCTTTATGGGAGCAGAAAGCCTCATCTTTCTCCCACTGAACAACTGGTAGTTTCGAATTGCTGACCTTGAGGGTTAGCAGCCCGACTTGTAACCACTACACTACCAGTGCTTGATAAGAGAAGCTGTCAACAGTATACCAGAGAATAATGTTTAAGGTTATTACAAAACAGAAAAAAGAAATGTAACCCTTAGTATGTGATGAATTAGATGGCTCTACCATGCAGTGGTTACGAATCAGGTTGTGAACCTCAAGGTCAGCAATTCGAAACAACCAGTTGTTCCACAGGAGAAGGATGAGGCTTTCTGTTCCTGTAAAGATTTATAGCCTCAGAAACCCTGTACAGGGTCACTATGAGTCAGAACCGACTCCACAGCACAGAGCCACCACCGCCACCACTTTCATTTGGATGTTCACTTATATGAATAGACTTCAAAATGTAGGTGGAAAATGGAACTTTTCCACGAACTTTTTGAAGCCCCCTCATTTACCTTTCAGAGTCCTGGTGTAGCACTGTGGGCTAATATGTCAGACTGCAAAGCCATTTGAACTGCAAGGTTGGTGGTTCAAGCTCACCAGCTGCTCCTCGGAAACCCTATACAAGGTTGCTATGGGTCGGAACAAACTCCACAGCACTTCACAACACCACCACCACCATTTACCATTCAGTGTATATGACATAATCATTCATTGTATTTCAGACATATGCAACAAAATATAGAGCAACTGTATTTTTTGTTCTCTTAAAGTTTTGCATTAACGCAAAAATTGTGCTACAGTGCAACTTTCAGTGACCTATTTATTAAATGTGTGGTTTCAAGAGTAAGTAAAACACATAAATGCTTTTTCTTAGAAAACATTCAGGTGATGAAGATTTTTTCTGTTTCTCAGATTTTCTCTTTGAGGAGCATGGTAAATTTTTGTTGACTGAAGGGTTGAGCTGTAACAAATACAAACATACTCAAGTATACATTCATGGTAAACTAGTTAATGTATATTCGGGCTGCTCACCTCAGGGTCAGCAGCTCGAAACTACCAGCTGTTCCGTGGGAGAATGATGAGGCTTTCTGCTCCTGTAAAGATTTACAGTCTCGGAAACCCTGTACAGGGTCACTATGAGTTGGAACTGACTCCACGGCACATAAGAAGAACAAGGAATGTATGCATATCTATTGAGCAATCATCAAATAGAACATAGTATTTGGGGAAAATGCTTTTAATTATATATTTGAATGTTGGTCTTTGGTCCTTTGGAGACGATCACTTGTGGGATAAGGTAGACACAACACCAGTAACACACAGGCTTCCTGAATTGTATCTTGGTCTTCTGCAGCCTCTGGCGCCGCCTAGAGGTCACTCTAGAAGCCTCAGCAGTAGGGGCCTAAGAGCCCTTGTGAATAGCAATCACAGAGCAGAGACTGAAGAAGAGCCTATGCAAATTATTTCAAGTCAGAGACTCCACTTGCTTTCCAGAGCAGAGGGTGCCTTCCTCCAACGCAAAAGGAAAGAGGCATTTTTGTGTCTCCAACAGTCTGATCTTCTGATGAGTCATATACTTTGGCTAATGCTTATTGATTCAAGTAACAGCCCACAGCCCACAACAGAAACCCCTGAGTTCCTCCTGGCTTCTGTTGCTTGTCTTGGAGGCAGAGGAGAGGTGGAGTGGAGAGTTTGGGATAGTGGTACAATTTTTCTGCCCGGGTGCAGAGTCAATTAGAAGGAAATTCCATGTCCTTTCACAGGTATTTACAGATAACTTCAGCAAATGCACTACAGTTGAAGTCAAGTCTAGCAGGAAGTCTGATGTTCAAAAACAGGATCCTGAGGCGTTTCAATGAAATGCCCAGAAGAAGGATGAGGTTCTGAAAATGAGACCAATAATAATAATTATTATCTTTTTCTTTAAAAAGAAAAGGAAGGAAGAGAAAGAAAGAGACACCCCCCCCCCTTCATTTTCATCCTGCTTGAGTGTGTGTAGTCCCAGAATGGTACAAATGATGAAATGTGCTTAGTTGCTAATTGAAAGGTTGTTGTTGTTGTTAAGTGCTGTCGAGTCAGTTCTGACCCATAGTGACCCTGTATAGGATTTCTGAGGAACAGCTGGTGGGTTTGAACCACCAGTCTTGCGATCCAGTATGCAGCACCACACCAGGACTCCGGTTGGAGGTTTGGAAATCATCCAGCGGTGTCTCAGGAGAAAAACTTAGCTATACACTTCCAAAAAATCAGACACTGGGAACTGCATGGAGCATAGGTGTACTCTGACACACATGAGATGACCATGAGTCAGAGTCGATGCCACAGCAACTGGTTCCTGGAGGCTCATTTAAATTTTCTGCAGAACCCATATATTCTGTCAGCCATGATACTTGTCTTACAAAACTCATTGTACTTTTGGGGAGCAGGGGTGGCATCAGATTATTTTTATTTTCCCAGCAGATTGATTGCACAGAGGGTTGGCTTCATAAATGTCTTTTAATGTTTTACTTCCGCTGCTGATGCGGAAGTGTCATGGCTTCCTGACCACCTAGTAGCCACCAATGGGAATAGCACTAAATCTTAAATGTTTCCTGAGAATCTATCTATGCAAGCGGAAATGAAAATCCTCAGATGAACTCACTTTTTGTCACTCTACAATACAATTTCTTTCATGACCTGAATTTAATACATGTTTGGCATTTAATGCCCCCTCCCCTCCAAACAGCTGCCATCCAGTCGATTGCAACTCATGGCTACCCCATGTATGTCAAAGTAGAAATGTGTCCCATATAGTTTTCAATGACTAATTTTTGTTTAATAGTTTGCCAGGCCTTTCTCCTAAGGTAAGATAGATTCAGATTTCCAACCTTTTCGTTAGCAGCCTAGTGTATTAGTTTTTTCTCTTATGCATAATACATGATTATACTTTATGAAGAAAAGGATCTTCAGAAGTAATTTACCTTAAGGGCTCGGGTCATAGGCAGCATTTGTGAAAACGCCATAAGTTCCTAGGTGGCTGAAAGAACAAAAATATAAAGATGATCTGCCGCCTCCAACAACACAGAAACTGCACACCAAACATACTGTATCTCCAAAAACCATGGATTACCACCTACCCTGGAATTCTGCTTTAAAACAGAAAGAAAAGATCCGTACCAAAGTGATTTTTGAGATAATTTGCATTGCTTTTTATATCCACATTAAATTACTATTGATGCTGTATGTACTGACTGTCTGATTTGTCCGCCTAAGGAATTGCAGCCTTGTGGGAGGTGAGAGGAAATAGCTAGAAAGTTCCCCAGTCTTGCTATTTGGTAATCTGGTAATAGTTTTCAAAAAATGGTTGTACCACCTCCTAGGGGCATATATTGGTACACATAATGACAAGGCATTTAGTAGTTAAAATATGTCCTAAAGAGCCTACCAAAACAAAACAAAAAGCAAGCCCACTATCATGGAGTTGATTCCAATTAACAATGAGCCTATCGGACTCCATAGAACTGATCTATAGAGTTTCCGTGGCTGTAAATCTATACGGAAGCCGATTGCCATAGCTTAGTGGTTTCACAATACCCAATCTTTTCATTAACAGTCAACTGCTTAGCCACTACACCAGCAGAGTTCTTCCTAACAAGCTTAGGACACAAAATGGCATACACCCCACACAACTTAAACAGATCTACTCAATATTCATATTGGGAGGACATTTGTAAACCTGGAACTTAACTGCTCCCATATGTTGTTGTTAAGTGCCAATGAGTTGGTTCTGACTCACAGCAACTTTGTGTAGGGTTTCTGAGGAGCAGTTTTTTTAAAATAGCAGTGGGTTTAAACTGCCGACCTCGTGGTTCACAGTCTGATTCTACAGCACCACACCAGGAATCCACTTCACATAGAGACCTAATCATTTTTCTGTCTTTTAACATGCAAATCGGGCAGTGTTTCATGCTGTTGTGCATACGGTTGCTATATGTCAGTACTGACATGATGGCACCTGACAACAACAACATATAAATTGAGAGAGGATTATAACAGGTTTTTCAGCTCTTTACAAGTTGGCATTTTCAAAATTGGCTTGTGTTGGTTCTACTTCTGATACTATTTGAATCACCAAAACAGCATTCAGTCTGCCTTGTGGTGTTTGTCTTCATAGCCTTCCACCAGGGCTTCATACAGGTTTGTTTGGATTGATGCCCCTGCTGAGAATTTGCCTTTCCACCCCAGAATAGGAATCTACATTTTAATAAGATCCCCAAGATGATTTTTATACATCAGAATCACCTTGGGGATCTTGCTAAAATGTAGATTCTGATTCAGCATATCTGGGGTAGAAAGGCAAATTCTCAGCTGGGGGACCAAACCAGAATGAATTGGTTCAAAGCCCTGGAGTCTACCCAGAGACATAATTTCTGACCATCTGCTAGTATGATGCCCAAACTTTAACATTTTATTCGTATTATAAATCACTTTCCCTTTTATTTCTCCTTTATATTGTAACTGAGCATTTATTCATTTTTTCTAAATGTTCATTGTGAATTATATGATAGTTTACATGGGAGAATATTAGCTTTACATTCATCCTATCATATACGTTTTCATTGGCATGGTTACAATCCCTTCCA